AAAAAGACAACGAGGAGGAGATAAAATTATTACTCGGATGTATATGGTGTTTCCCAAAGAAATTGAGCAATTCCATTTAAGATTACTTTTGTTGCATGTAAAAGGGCCAAAATCATATGAAGATGTGCGTACATTCAATGGAATTGTTTATAGGACATTTATCGAAGCATGTCATGCTAGGGTAATTGCGTCCAATTATAACGAGTGGAGAGTTTCTCTCAATGAAGCTAAGACATTTAACTCAGGAAAACAAATGCGTAATTTGTTTGCGATTAATTGTGCCTTCAATATTCCAGCAAATGCATTAGCGCTTTGGGTGGAATTTAGAGATCATTTAAGCGAAGATTTCGTTAGAGATGGTTGTAGTGTAGATGTTTCTTTTAATAGAGTATTATTGGAAATCGAGGATATTTTGTTAACACATAATGTTACATGTACGTCACTTGGTTTGCCTACACCTACAATAATGCCAGAATTTGCTGATCTCGATATTTTTGATCCTTTCGTAGAAGAATGTTTATTTAATGAGCTTTATGATTGCGCAAATAATGAACAGCGTGATACTATTGATAAAGTTATTCGTGAAGTTCAGTATTACCATACAGGATCAAATGTGTTTTGTTTGACATCCCATGCAGGTTGTGGGAAAACATTCACACAAACGGCTATAATTCGTAAATTAAATTCCCTTAATCTTCGCTGTATTTCGTGTGCATTTAGTGGTATTGCTGCGAGTCAAAGCAATGCATAATAACACAATAGATTGTGAAGTACTCACTGGAGTTGCTCGCGGAAAACGTGTTTTGATTCCACGCATACACTTGACGTATTCAGGGACTGCACTGCCATTTAATTTTCAAAGAACACAGTTTCCACAGTCATCAGCGCATTTGCTATGACAATTAACAAATCCCAAGGACAGACATTTGATAGAGTTGGAATATTGTTGAGGAGACCTGTTTTTTCGCATGGTCAACTTTACGTTGCAGCCAGTTGAGTTAGATCATTTGACGGACTTAAATTTTAAGTCAGTAATGAAGGTGGACAAGGTCATTTGGCTAATGATGAAAGGGTTTTTACAAAAAATATTGTTTACACTGAAGTTTTGAGAACTTCGTGATATAAAATATAGAATTATTATTATGCATTATTATCATTTTAGATTTCATTCAGTTTGAATGTTTTTCAATATTAAATTTTTTTCATTCGTTCATTTGCCAATTTCATTTCTTTGTTTCTTGCCTTCACTGCATACCGCGATTTGATTTCGTGATGGCAGAGTATAGGAATTTGTTTGATAATTAACACGGGAGCGAGATGTTGTGCAAAGTCGCATTGTCGAAATTATGCAATAAATTGACGCAATAAATTGCGTCAGAATTTCGAATTTCTTTAGAAGAAGGTGCTGTTCTACAAAATTGCTGATTCCTATACTGATAACTTTCCGATATCACCTGAAGAACAAATGTACGGAGCAGATGTTAAGATAATTTATTTGTTGAAAAGATTTCAAAATGGAGCATCAGTTCGAAATTTTATCGGTATTTCATTCAAACAATTCATCATATTTCATATTTTATACTAATTATTTTCTTTTTTCGCAGGTGCATATGTGGTCACATATGACGACAAATTTAAATTAAACGATTTGATTGGATTGATAATACAAGGAAGAATTAAGCCAAAACCAGAAACACAACAAATAATTTTGCACGAGATGAAATTATAAATTTTAATTTATTTTTTAAATTGTTTTCTACAACTTTCTTTAGATTTTGTTCATATTTTAATCAAATTCATCAATAAAATTTAAATACTATTAAAATAAATAAATTGTATTTTCTATTGGTGCGACCCTGCTGGCGACCCTAGGTTATTATTATTGTACAATATCAAGATTTACACATTTAATTAGTATAAATATATTTATCTATATGTAAAACAATTATTGTAAAATTTGAACATATATGCTGATGTTAGCAATATCCAAACTTTGGCTTTCCTTTGCATTATTTAATTTGGTAAAATGCAGTGGCACTGAACTTGAATATTTGCATTATATTTTTTGTTAAGTGCAGTGGCACTGAACTTTGAATATGTAACATATATCAAGGCCAGTGCATTGGCATTAATTCTTGGTTGCTAGACACAACAAAGAATTTGGTTGCATAATATATGCTGAGCTTGCACTTTGGGCAAGAAAACGGTAAAGGAAAAGAATAAAATTTAGATATTGTTATTGTAATAATTTGTAATAATTTAGTATTTAAGGCAAAATTTAATTTAATAAAAATCAAATTGAAATCAATATTCGATCTCTTTAATTCAAAATTTTAGAGTTTCAGTTAAAGTGAACAAAACTACTTTTCAAGCATAATCATAAATTCCTTTAACTCTGTTAGAGGTATTGGTTAATGTTATATTTTGAGTTTATAGGTAATATTAATATTTAATTAATTATAAAATTTGATGAAATAGTACAATGTTGTAGATTATTTTTTGAATAACATATATATATATCAGAATATTTTGGTATATAAAATATGAGTAGCACGATTTTGCAAAATTAACAAAAATATTTTGCGTACAAAAAACAAATCTTCTTTTGCAAACTGCATAACACTTACAATCATTTAATGTATTTTTCATTATATATTTAAAAATAACAAGAAGTAGTACAATGTTGCACGGCAATTTTTCAAATTATTTATATTTTACTAATACGCATTGATGGACAAGTTATTAAAATCGAGTATCAAATAAAAAAGTTAACAAGAACTACTTTTGAAACATAATCATAAATTTCTTTAACTCTGTTAGAGGTACTTGTTAATGTTATATTTTGAGTTTATAGGTAATATAAATATTTAATTAATTATAAAATTTGATGATATAGTACAATGTTGTATAGTATTTTTTGAAAAACATATATGTATGGGAATATTTTGGTATATAAAACATGAGTAGCACGATTTTGCAAAATTAACAAAAATATTTTGCATACCATAAACCAAAAAACAAATCTTCTTTTGCAATCTGCATAACACATGCAATCATTTGATGTATTTTTCAATATATATTTAAAAATACTAAGAAGTAGTACAATGCTGCACGGTAACTTTTTAAATTATTTATATTATTCTAATACGAATTTATGAAAAGGATATTAAAATCGAGTACCAAATAAAAAAGTTAACAAAAACTACTTTTGAAGCATAATCATAAATTCTTTTAACTCTGTTAGAGGTATTTGTTACTGTTATATTTTGAGTTTATAGGTAATATTAATATTTAATTAATTATAAAATTTGATGAAATAGTACAATGTTGTATAGTATTTTTTGAAAAACATATATATATTAGAATATTTTGTTATATAAAACATGAGTAGTACGATTTTGCAAAATGAACAAAAATATTTTGCATACCATAAAACAAAAAACAAATTTTCTTTTGCAAACTGCATAACACATGCAATCATTTGATGTATTTTGTAATATATATTTAAAAATACTAAGAAGTAGTACAATGTTGCACGGTAACTTTTCAAATTATATATATTATCTCTAATACGCATTGATGGACAAGTTATTAAAATCGAGTATCAAATAAAAAAGTTAACAAGAACTACTTTTGAAACATAATCATAAATTTCTTTAACTCTGTTAGAGGTATTTGTTAATGTTATATTTTGAGTTTATAGGTAATATTAATATTTAATTAATTATATAATTTGATGAAATAGTACAATGTTGTATAATATTTTTTGAAAAACATATATATGTAGGATTCCTTTTTATTAGAATCAAAACTAATTAATTAAATTACAAAAAAATATATATAAATGAAAAAAACTGTTTGTTCTTCCGCACACACGTCATTACTTCACACGTCTTCTTTCTGCACTGCCACACTACGTTTGTTTCTTCTTTTTTACTTCCTTATGCTCGTGTGCTGGCGTTGCCAGATCTGCGTCCCACAATCGGCCATCCTGCGATTCGTTCGACCCGAATGAAGTGTCATTGTCAGCAACTGCCCAAGGCTTCATATACTCTGCGCAACTGCTAGTCCGCTTTGACCCTTCGCTTTTTCCGATTTTTATAACATCATACGTATCGTTTGATTTAACTCTCTCGACCTCGTAAGGTCCTAAGTATTTTGGTTTTAGCTTCAGTCCTCCCGAAAACTGCGTCCTTTTGATTGCGACTACGTCGCCTACTTTGTACTTTACGGCTGGCCTGCGTCTTTGGTTATATGCATTCTTATTTTCTAACTGGATTTTCAGTATTTGTTGCTTTGCGCGTTGCCTCATTTCTTCTCGGTCTTCATTAAAAATCGTTGTAATTTCCTCTTCGATAATTTTTTTGATCTGAATATCTTCCTTTGTTTGCATTTTAGCACCAATTAATAATTCAAAAGGCGTCGTTCCAGTACTTCTGCAATACGTGGAGTTTATTATCTGCTGCACTTTGTCAACATTTTTATACCATTTAGTTGGATCTGCCATGCTTAATTTTGCCAAAACTGGCGCAATTATGCTATTCAATCTTTCGACTTGTCCGTTGGCCCTGGCTAAGCCCGTAGTAATTTTGATGTGTTTAATACTTTCACCCTCGCAATACTTACGAAAATCATCTGAAGAGAAAGCAGCACCTCGGTCTGATATTATTTGATTAGGATTACCAAAAACTATGCTTTGCGTACGCAATCGGGATATAGCCTCGTTAGCTGATGTGGTTCGAGTTGGATATATCCAACAGAATTTAGTAAAAGAGTCAATAACGACAAAGATATGCTTATATTGTTTGTTCGTTGATTCTAATGGTCCCAAAAAATCAACATGGTACGTGTGTAATGGTATACTTTCTTTAATCAATGAGTGTAGTTCGCCTTCTTGCTTACCCTGCTTCCGATTCACAACGATACATGGAATACAATTCATAATGTGTTTTTGTATTTTTTCTTCCAATTGAGGTATAAAATAGTCATTTCGGAGTAGTTCACTTGTTTTTTTTTACGGCAAAATGTCCCTTTTCATGTGCATGTCTAATTATTTCACGCTGCATACTCTTAGGTACAACAATAAGTTCTTGGTCATTTCTCAGCTTATACAACAACTCTCCTTTCTTAAAATAATCGTTGTATGAAGATTTTTCTTGTAGAATATCCGATATCGTTTTCAGGTTTTCGTCTTGCATCTGTGCTCTCCGTATTTTAGAAAGAATATTATCTTCATCTATGCACATAACGGCGTAGCGGCTTAAAGCATCAACATGCTTCATTCGCGAACCAACACGATGCTGAACTTCGTAATCGTACTCCTCTAAGAACAATATCCAACGGGCTACTCTCGTGCACAAGTCTTTCTTTCCCAATGTCATCGCAAATGCGTTACAATCAGTAACGAGCTTAAAATGCATACCCAGAATGTATACTCTAAACTTTTTGAAAGCTTCAATAACAGCCAATATTTCTAGTTCGTAACTTGTATATTTTCTTTGTGCGTCAGTGGTTTTTTTACTCATATAATACACAGGATGCCATTGTTCGTCGTCTGGTGATTTTTGCAATAAAACGGCTCCATATCCTTCTATCGAAGCATCTGTATGCACTTCCGTTTCAGATTTTTGATTAAAAATGTTTAGTACCGGTTTTTCGCTTAAGATGGTCTTCAACGTATTAAATGCAGTAATCTGTTCATCTTTTATTTCAAATTTCACATTTTGTTTCCTTAAATCTGTTAAAGGCTTGGCAATTAGCGAGAATTTAGGTATGAATTTTCTAAAATAACTCGCCAACCCAAGAAAACTTTCCAATTGTTTTAATGTTTGCGGCAATTTGTATTTGCGTAGAGCTTCAACCTTAACTTCTGACGGTGATATTTTTTGATCTTGTATTGTGTGCCCTAGAAATTCCACTTTTCTCATTAGAAACTTGCATTTTTTAAAATTCAATTCAAGTCCAAAGTCTGCACACCGCTGTAATACAACTTTTAGGTTTTGTACGGCTTGTTCTTCATTTGCTGCGGGTATAATGATATCATCAACGTATGGTAAAGCTATACCTTCATTAGTTAATTCACGAAATATCGCGTTTATATGTCTTTGAAAAACACCTGGTGAGTTCGACAATCCAAATGGCACTCTACAGAATTGATATTGTCCATTATGTGTAACAAATGACGTGTATTTACGACATAATTCTGCCACGGGCACATGGAAAAATCCATTCTTTAAGTCAATTGTACTGAACACCTTACCACTTTGTAGCCGATCGAGTTGGTCTTCTATTAGTGGCAACGGAAAACGGTCTTTCACCAATACTTTATTAATTCTTCTAAAGTCAATACACAAGCGTGGTGTACCGTCGCGTTTTTTTATCAATACAACTGGGCTACTGAATTCTGACTCCGATCGTTCAATTACACCACTTTTCAACCACTGTTCCACTTGCTCATCCACAATGCATCTCTCCGTGAACGGTAATCTACGCGGCCTGGAATAAATGGGTGTTTCGTCTTTGAGCACTATGTACATCGCCACTTGTGTTGTTTTACATTGATTCGGCTGATAATTTATGATCATTTCACGTACCTGTCGTCTCGCATTCTCACTAGCGGTTTTGTCGATATCAATCGTTTTGTTGTCATTTACTAAGTCAATTTTCATTATTTTAGCTTCTTCGTCTATGGGATCGTCTTCGTCGAGGATTTTACGAACGTTTATACCATCACGATTAAATAAAATTTCAGCGTATAAGCATAGTTCTTCGCCAATGATCACTTGTAAGTCCATGCACCGAATTGGAACGACATAAAAATCTAATATGAACTCATTATCGTCAATTTTAATTAAGTTTTTAAAATGTCCAATTGGTTTAATCCTATTTGAATTGCGATCACTACCGAAACCAATTAAACATACGTTACATTTTTCTAAGATAGGCTTATTCAACTTGTTGTATAAGTCTTCGCGAATTATATTAAATTTACTGCCTGTATCGAATAGGGCTGCGCACTGTAAATTGCCAATAAAAATGGATTTGGTAGTTAAATTGTTTTTTTGCTGTAAACTGCGCGTATTTATTTTGTTTTCGGCTTGTTCACAGTTTTTAGAAATATGTCCGTACTGGTTGCACTTAAAGCATTTAGTACCTCGATTTTTATTTTTGCAATTCATGGACAAATGTCCCTTTTCACCACAATTGTAGCATTTCACTTCTGTTTTATTTGTTGAGAAACTTTTCTTTTCGCTTTGTTTAAAATCGTTAACTTGCTTACTTTTTTCACACATTGTTTCATATGATCTTAATTTGTCTTTAAATTCATTAAGGTTCTTTGCACCATATAGTATCATTTTATTTACATAACCGTCTCTAATTCCATCTATTATATACTGAATCAGCGCTTCGTCTTCGATATTGCCGCGAGATGCGATATCTTTCATTTGATAAAAATATTCAAACACATTTTCATCTTTTTTTATTTTGCGAGCACTAAGTTGCTTATGCAATTGTGCGCTATTTGTTGTTGTTCGAAACTCATTTAACAGGGCGTGTTTTAAAGCACACCACGAATTTAAACCTCTTTCACTCAAAATAAAAAGTTTAGCAATGCCTCTAAGAGATTTTTTTGCAAACACTAGTTTTTGAAACCCATCCCAACACATTAGTGCAGCTTGTTCCTCGAATTCTTCAATCCACCTTTCTACCGAAATGATATTTGTGCCATCAAATGGTCTAATTGAGTCCTCTATATCGCGAAAGTTCATTGCAAATTTTGGTGCTTCTCTTTGTAAAAATTTTGTACGTGTGTACGCTGCTGCTTTATTATTATCATCCACTTCAAACATTTTATTGCCATTATCGTCACGAGATTTTTTAAACTCGCGTTCATTGCCTCTGAAAGTGCGTTTACTGTCAACGTCATCATCGACTTCTTCATCTCCTTCTTCGTCATCATCATCATCGACTTCTTCATCTCCTTCTTCGTCATTACATTCATCGTCGTTTGCGTTTTCGGACAACAAAAAATTTTTACGTAGATTTCGAAATATGTGCAGTTGTACATCTTTAACACAATAACTTATATTTAGTACAATACAAATTGAAACCAAATCACGTTCAGTCAAATTATTTTTAATATATTCGCATTTGCTTGCATACGCCTTGTCATTTTCGTCGTAATCGAATCCAGAAAATTCTCTCAATCTCTTTCGATTATTTCTATCACCTTCTTCTTGGTATATAAATTTATGCAACGCTATTATTATGTTTTTGCTGCTACTGCGCAGGCTGCTGCTTACGAAGTCATTTAAGCAAGTCATTGTGTAGACTGAATTTCACAATTGCCGGAAATTCAAATCCCTGTTGAGCCCCCAATTTGTAGGATTCCTTTTTATTAGAATCAAAACTAATTAATTAAATTACAAAAAAAATATATATAAATGAAAAAAACTGTTTGTTCTTCCGCACACACGTCATTACTTCACACGTCTTCTTTCTGCACTGCCACACTACGTTTGTTTCTTCTTTTTTACTTCCTTATGCTCGTGTGCTGGCGTTGCCAGATCTGCGTCCCACATATATATTAGAAAATTTTGGTATATAAAACATGAATACCACGATTTGGCAAAATTAACAAAAATATTTTGCATACCATTAAACAAAAAACAAATCTTCTTTTGCAAACTGCATAACACATGCAATCATTTGATGCATTTTTCAATATATATTTAAAAATAACAAGAAGTAGTACAATGTTGCACGGTATCTTTTCAAATTATTTATATTCTTCTAATATGAATTGATGGACAAATTATTAAAATCGAGTATCAAATTAAAAAGGTAACAAGAACTACTTTTGAAACATAATCATAAATTTCTTTAACTCTGTTAGAGGTACTTGTTAATGTTATATTTTGAGTTTATAGGTAATATAAATATTTAATTAATTATAAAATTTGATGATATAGTACAATGTTGTATAGTATTTTTTGAAAAACATATATGTATGGGAATATTTTGGTATATAAAACATGAGTAGCACGATTTTGCAAAATTAACAAAAATATTTTGCATACCATAAACCAAAAAACAAATCTTCTTTTGCAATCTGCATAACACATGCAATCATTTGATGTATTTTTCAATATATATTTAAAAATACTAAGAAGTAGTACAATGCTGCACGGTAACTTTTTAAATTATTTATATTATTCTAATACGAATTTATGAAAAGGATATTAAAATCGAGTACCAAATAAAAAAGTTAACAAAAACTACTTTTGAAGCATAATCATAAATTCTTTTAACTCTGTTAGAGGTATTTGTTACTGTTATATTTTGAGTTTATAGGTAATATTAATATTTAATTAATTATAAAATTTGATGAAATAGTACAATGTTGTATAGTATTTTTTGAAAAACATATATATATTAGAATATTTTGTTATATAAAACATGAGTAGTACGATTTTGCAAAATGAACAAAAATATTTTGCATACCATAAAACAAAAAACAAATTTTCTTTTGCAAACTGCATAACACATGCAATCATTTGATGTATTTTGTAATATATATTTAAAAATACTAAGAAGTAGTACAATGTTGCACGGTAACTTTTCAAATTATATATATTTTTCTAATACGCATTGATGGACAAGTTATTAAAATCGAGTATCAAATAAAAAAGTTAACAAGAACTACTTTTGAAACATAATCATAAATTTCTTTAACTCTGTTAGAGGTATTTGTTAATGTTATATTTTGAGTTTATAGGTAATATTAATATTTAATTAATTATATAATTTGATGAAATAGTACAATGTTGTATAATATTTTTTGAAAAACATATATATATTAGAAAATTTTGGTATATAAAACATGAATACCACGATTTGGCAAAATTAACAAAAATATTTTGCATACCATTAAACAAAAAACAAATCTTCTTTTGCAAACTGCATAACACATGCAATCATTTGATGCATTTTTCAATATATATTTAAAAATAACAAGAAGTAGTACAATGTTGCACGGTATCTTTTCAAATTATTTATATTCTTCTAATATGAATTGATGGACAAATTATTAAAATCGAGTATCAAATTAAAAAGGTAACAAGAACTACTTTTGAAACATAATCATAAATTTCTTTAACTCTGTTAGAGGTATTTGTTAATGTTATATTTTGAGTTTATAGGTAATATTAATATTTAATTAATTATAAAATTTGATGAAATAGTACAATGTTGTAGAGTATTTTTTGAAAAACATATATATATTAGAATATTTTGGTATATAAAACATGAGTAGCACGATTTTGCAAAATTAACAAAAATATTTTGCATACCATTAAACAAAAAACAAATCTTCTTTTGTAAACTGCATAACACATGCAATCATTTGACGCATTTTTCAATATATATTTAAAAATACAAGAAGTAGTACAATGTTGCACGTTAATTTTTCAAAATATATATGTTTTACTAATACGAATTGATTAAAAAGTTATTAAAATCGTGTACCAAATAAAAAAGTCAACAAAAACTACTTTTGAAGCATAATCATAAATTCCTTTAACTCTGTTAGAGGTATTTGTTACTGTTATATTTTGAGTTTATAGGTAATATTAATATTTAATTAATTATAAAATTTGATGATATAGTACAATGTTGTAGATTATTTTTTGAAAAACATATATATATCAGAATATTCTGGTATATAAAACATGAGTAGCACGATTTTGCAAAATTAACAAAAATATTTTGCATACCATAAAACAAAAAACAAATCTTCTTTTGCAAACTGCATAACACATGCAATCATTTGATGTATTTTTCAATATATATTTAAAAATAACAAGAGGTAGTACAATGTTGCTCGGTACCATTTCAAATTATTTATATTCTTCTAATATGAATTGATGAAAACGTTATTTAAAGTGTGTACCAACTAAAAAAGTTAACAAAAACTACTTTTGAAGCATAATCATAAATTCCTTTAACTCTGTTAGAGGTATTTGTTAATGTTATATTTTGAGTTTATAGGTAATATTAATATTTATTTAATTATAAAATTTGATGAAATAGTACAATGTTGTAGAGTATATTATGAAAAACATATATATATTAGAATATTTTGTTATATAAAACATGAGTAGTACGATTTTGCAAAATGAACAAAAATATTTTGCATACCATAAAACAAAAAACAAATCTTCTTTTGCAAACTGCATAACACATGCAATCATTTGATGTATTGTTCAATATATATTTAAAAATACTAAGAAGTAGTACAATGTTGCACGGTAACTTTTCAAATTATATATATTTTTCTAATACGCATTGATGGACAAGTTATTAAAATCGAGTATCAAATAAAAAAGTTAACAAGAACTACTTTTGAAACATAATCATAAATTTCTTTAACTCTGTTAGAGGTATTTGTTACTGTTATATTTCGAGTTTATAGGTAATATTAATATTTAATTAATTATAAAATTTGATGAAATAGTACAAAGTTGTAGAGTATTTTATGTAAAACATATATGTAATAGAATATTCTGTTATATAAAACATGAGTAGCACGATTTTGCAAAATTAACAAAAATATTTTGCATACCATAAAACAAAAAACAAATCTTCTTTTGCAAACTGCATAACATATGCAACCATTTGATGAATTTTTCAATATATATTTAAAAATACTAAGAAGTAGTACAATGTTGCACGGTAATTTTTTAAAATATATAAATTTTACTAATACGAATTGATGAAAAAGTTATTAAAATCGTGTACCATATAAAAAAGTTAACAAAAACTACTTTTGAAGCATAATCATAAATTCCTTTAACTCTGTTAGAGTTATTTGTTAATGTTATATTTTTAGTTTATAGGTAATATTAATATTTATTTAATTATAAAAGTTGATGAAATCGTACAATGTTGTACAGTATTTTTTGAATAACATATATATATTAGAATATTTTGGTATGTAAAACATGAGTAGCACGATTTTGCAAAATTAACAAAAATATTTTGCATACCATAAAACAAAAAACAAATCTTCTTTTGCTAACTGCATAACGCATGCAACCATTTGATGTATTTTAAAATATACATTTAAAAATA